CTTGTTTTTCAACCATCTATTAATTCGAATAAAAAAAACTTATTTCTTTAAAATAAAATTTTAAATTTAATTTTTGTAAATAAAATGATAAGGATTTGAAAATTTTTTATCTTATGAGATTTAACTCGTCTTAACTTTAAATTAATTAAAATTTAATATAATTTTTAGATACTAAAAAGTTTAATACTACAAAGGTTAAACGGTTAATTTTAATTTCTTAACTTTAAGGTTTTATACAATTTTCATACATCAACTTTTTTTTTTGGCACTTTTTTGATCCTTTGATTATGAAAAATTGTACTTTTTTATTTCTTTCATCAATTAATTCATTACATCTATTTTAATCTGTATATTTTTAGCTCCTCAATTTTTAATATATTTATTTTTTTTATCTCTCAACTTAAAGTTGAAGGATTAAAAATATGCAGATTTAGATAAACTTAACAAATTAATTGACAAAAGAATAAGAAAGTGCATTTTTTGTAGTTAAGGAATAAAAAAATATTTTAAAAAAAGTTGAAAAACAAAAAGTATACAAAACCTTAAATTGAGGAAAATTAGTATTTAACCTACTACAAAATATCTCTTAGATATAGAGGGATTTGGTAAAAATAAAAAATAATAGCTTGTCTCTCATCCATTAGATAATAGGTTTAAGTAAAAAAAATATAATGAACCAACAGTATGACTTGATATATTTTTATTAATCTTTTTTATTTGAGTTATACGCTTTTTGCATAAATTGATATGCATATACTTAAGTCACATTAGTATATTTAAAAACATTGTACTTATAACATTGATGTTTATTTTAAAAATAAAACATAAAATGACTAAATAAGAAGCCAAAAATCATAGCAATTTTGGTATTAAAAATGTTAGAATGTTATATCAAAATTACGTGATAAATAAGATATAATGAAAAATTCACTTAAATTATAATTGAAATTGAACATTCTAATATTTTTAATAACAAAACATCATAATTTTCAAATTTTTAATGACTATATCAAAATTCTCTAATTATTAATAAGTGGGGAGATCTAAATGATAGTAAGAAGAAGAGTAAAAAATAGGAATGAATGATCTTATGATTTTCTTCCTAGAAAGGCATGTTTGCAGGACAAAAGCTATTTTATTTACAATTTGGTCAAGTTGTGTAAACTGCATATTTTATTATTATTAATGGAAAAAAATCACCTTTCGTTAATGGTTTTCAGTTAGGATATAATGAATTATAATTTTTCCATGATACATCTATCATACAAATTAAAACATAATCAATTACCCAAACCAAAATATTCATTTATACAAATAAAAATATAGTTTGATAAAATAATATTTTCATTCCAAAATAATTATCATTTTTTACTCAAAAATTTGTCTCAATTAATTATAATTTTTTATTTTTTTCATTTTTTAAAATAACAATTGTTTTGTCCTACAAAATACCAAGGTTAGGTTATTATCACTATCTAAATTATTAATACCATCAATTTAATTATAATTTTATTGGTTTACAAATTTTTTAAATAATTAATTATGATATTTAAAAATATTTATTTATTAATTAATTTTAATTTTTTAAATAATAAATATTAACTATTTTATTAATTATTTATTTTTTTATAATTAAATTAAAATAAAAATTAAATAATTATTTATAGTCTTAACAAATTCAACTATGATCATAATCAAGACACCAAACACAAAAATATTTTCTCTCAATTAAACTTGCTCCCCTGTTGGAGGTTGAAAACACAATAATTTATTCACAAAAAGGAATGTGCAAGCATTATGGGAAACCATATGGTTCTCTGTCATTGGGGCGGTATGGTCGGTCAGAAACAGGTTGAATTATTTTTTATATTTCATTCTCTTATTTATGCTTGGTTAAACTTTTATTTTTGAATTAAATTTATCCTTTAACTTCAAAAAGTACCCAAAATATCCTTTAACTTCAATTTTCCATAGCAATTTAGTCCTTCTATCCTTGAAAGTGTCAGATCACACGTTAAATGCCACAAAATTTAATGATATGTAAAAAAAAAATACTTATTTTGTATGACATAGTATTTAATTAATCAATAAAGCCTTACAATAATACAAAATTACATAATTGTCACTCTCCTCCTTCCCCAAACTTCCTCTATGATGGAACCCAAATTTGGTTCCTTGCACAGTAACGATGGCCAACATATTTTATTCGAAAAATCAATCTACAAAAGAAAAGGAAAATGTGAAAAACACAATATCCCTTTAATCAACACCAATAGCAACTAGATCTTGAAATTCAAGTAAGCAAAAGCCACATAGAACCCTAAATCCCATACCAAGATAGCCAAGCGTGATAGTAGCCATCAAAGAAATAGAAGAAAAAAAAAGGAGAAAATGAGAACCAATGAGAAAAAATCATTGGATTTCTTTCAAAAATACCTAGAAAAGGAGGGAAAATACCTATAGATCCGAGTTCCTCACTCAACCTTTTGTGTTTCTACAACAAAATCTAGCACAATCGAAGGAGGAATTGTCAATGGAAAGGTTGAGTTCCTCATACGATGGTGACAACGAGGCTAGGCTCCTCACATGACAACAATGAAAAGGCTAGGTTTCCTCAAACGAAAAGGCTAGGAGAAAGAGAAAGAAAGGAAGGAGAAAGAAGAAAGGAGGAAGAACGATGCTGCCATCATTGTTGATGCCGGAGAAGGTCGATGTTAGAGAAGGAGAAGTCGATAGTGCGCGAGGGGAAAGGGTGTGACAATTTGGAGTTTGGATTTAGGGTTTCCTGTGTTTATAGGATGTGTGGAAGGAATAGTAAAACAATGTGTATTGAGGTTAGAGATTAAATTTTGATTAAAATGTCATTTGTAGAGAAAAAAATGCCACATCATCACTTTATTTGTGTTTTTTTTCACATCATTATTTTTTTAAAAAAAAAGTGTGATTTTCCAGCAATTACTTAACAAAAAAATTAGCCACAACAGCACTTAATTGACAGAAGGATGAAATTGGTGTCAAAAATTGAAGTTGAAGGATATATTTGATGCTTTTTGAAGTTCAAGGACAAATTTAGTTTAAAAATGAAAGTTAAGGGACCAAACCTGATATTTAACCTTTATGCTTTGACATGTTTGTTGTGACTAGTAGAGTCGATCAACTAGAGAGTCAATCTGTTGAAAAAACTACACCCATGTCTCCTATAAATCTCTTGAAAGCCGTTCATGGATCTAAAATTGAGAATCATCCCAACAATATTTCTAGGCAAGTTCATTTACTATAATTCTTTTTTTAACAATAATTATCAAAATACATGTTTTCCCTAAGAATGATTATTTTTCTAAATATTGTTTGTCTTAGGTGATGAATCTACAATGACCCAAATTGATAATGGTGATAAAGAATTTGAACAACATAAGTCAATCCAATCGGAGAATGCTGATATATATTACATCTTCTGAAGGTGAAAAGTGGTACACAAAAATATAAAATTTTAATAATAGTTATCTTTATTTTTGGTCCAATGCTTCTTAGCTTACTCTGTCATGCCTTTTTGTTTTAGCGCGTATGGTGATGATGTACCTCTAAAGATCATTTCTGAAAGAGCGAAAGCAAGTGAGAATATATATTAAGTATGTTGTTAAACACTAATTTTCAATGTGTCTTTCAAAATAATTACTGAGAATATCCGTATTAATATATATATATATATATATGTATATATTTTTTTAAAATTTTCTTAGGGGTTCCAAGAGATTGAAGAACACAAAAACAGAGAAGTGGAGTTTGAAGAAAAGAAATTGCCATGTTAGTTTTCCATAGACAATGATAGTATTTTCTTAGGAATCAATGTTTAATTTTGGAAAATTTTGCCCTTATGGTTAAAGTTATTATTTTATTTAATAAAATTGATTTAACTACTACTAATTTTAATTTTGTCTTTTACTTATGTATACTATAAAACCCCAACCCCCAATCGTCACAACCCCAATAAAAACACAAACTTAATCAGACTCCCAGATTAGGAAAGACAGCAAAACCAAGAAATTCAACCTGAAAAATAAGAAGATTGAAATTAGAACATGTGATCCGAGAATTAGACAAACCCAAAAGAAGAAGAAGCAGGAGGAGGAGGAGGAGGTTTCACACTTGGTTCAATAATCTTGAAGAAGGAAGAAAGAGAATAGAAATATGACAAAACTTAATTTGCTTCGATTCAAG